TATTTCATCATCAAGTTCAATGCTGCCATCGTCTTTTTGTTTAGATACAATGTCTTTATGTTTATCGGGAGAAGCTGTTTCTTGAACAACAGCAATTGCAGCCTCTTTCTTATGATCTTTTTCAACCTTTTTAGTAATGTTATCAATAAGATATTTATCAGTGCAGTCCAATAATTCTTTTTCAGCATCAGCATCTCCAATTTGCTTGGAAAGATAGTCATCAGCTTTTTTAGATTTATCTCCCCATTGTTTTTTATGATGTGGTGCGGCGACATTAAAGTATCTAGTAGCAAGTGCTGTCTTCCACCACGAATCTGATTCAGGTGATCTAAGTTTCTTATTTTGTGTACCCTTTTTCACTTCAGTTATTACTTTGGTAGCTGGAACGTCTATTTCTTTACAAATTGTCTCACTAACTTCAAAAGATCCGTCATCCTTTTGCTTAGACATTATTTCGTCACATTTTTCTGGTGTGGCAGACTCTTGCACCGTAGCGACAGCATTTCTCTTTTTATCTTTAATCACCTTCTTAATGCAATTATCAACTACATAATCGTCCGCACATTCTTCAAGTTCTTTTTCGGCATCTTTATCTCCGATTTGATTTGAGATATATTTACGAGCTTTGTCAGCTTTGTCTTTCCATACATCTTCGTGTTTAGGAGCAGCTTTCTTAAGGTATGAAAGGTTAATAGCAGTTTCAATAATTGATGGAAGATTGGGTGATTGAAGCTTCTTATGTTTAAGCTTTGGTTGAATTGTCTTAATAATTTCTTCTTTAGGTGCATCTAGTTCGTCACAAACTGTGTCTTTTAATTCAATACAACCATCATCTTTTTGATCCGCGACGATTTCTTTGCATTTATCAGGAGAGGCTGCTTCCTCAACGACTATGAGTGCTTCCGCTTTCTCATGATCATCAGGTTTATCTTTATCTTTACCATATCCAAGGGCTTGTTCAATTTGATCTCCAAGTTTAACAGCTCCATCATAAAGATTACCGATAAAGCTTTTAGCTTTAGGTTTTTCCTCTTTGGGTATGTCATCTTTCTTAAGATCAATTACTTCTTGTTTCTTTTCTTCAATCACTTTATCTGTAGCTTTATCAACAACAAACTCATCAGCACAATCTAATAATTCTTTTTCAGCATCGGCATCACCAATTTGTTTCGAAAGATAGTCACGGGCTTTTTTATATTTATCTTCCCATTCACCTTTGTATTTAGACGCTGCATTTTTCAGATATGAGATATTAACAGCAGTTGCAAGGCTAGATGAAAACTCGGGTGACTTGAGTTTTTTATTAGTAACTTTCTTTTGAATTGTACCAATAATTTCTTCTTTAGGAGCATGTAATTCCTTACATATTTCATCATCAAGCTCAATGCTGCCATCGTTATTTTGTTTAGATACAATGTCTTTATGTTTATCGGGAGAAGCTGATTCTTGAACAGCAGCAATTGCAACATCTCTCTTATGATCTTTGTCAACCTTTTTAGTAATATTATCAACGAAGTATTTATTAGCGCAATCTAATAATTCTTTTTCAGCATCCTTATCTCCAATTTGTTTAGAAAGGTAATCGCGAGCTTTCTTATCTTTGTCTTCCCATTGTTTTTTATGTTTTGGTGCGCCGATATTAAGGTAGCTAAGAGCAAGTGCTGTCTTCCACCATGGCTCTGATTCGGGTGATCTAAGCTTCTTATTTTGTGTACCTTTTTTAACTTCAGTTACTACTTTAGTAGCTGGAACGTCCATTTCTTTACAAATTGTCTCACTAACTTCAAAAGATCCATCATCCTTTTGATTAGATACTATGTCATTGCATTTTTCTGGTGTGGCAGACTCTTGCACCTTAGTAACTGCATTTCTCTTTTTATCTTTAATCGCCTTCTTAATACAATTTTCAACCACGTAATCATCCGCGCATTCTAAAAGTTCTTTTTCAGCATTTTCATCTCCTATTTGTTTTTTGAGATATTCGCGGGCTTTGTTATATTTATCTTTCAATTCACCTTCATGTTGAGATGCAGCTTTCTTAAGATATGAAACGTTAATTGCAGTTGCAAGGCTTGATGAGAGTTCGGGTGATTGAAGCTTGCTATTAGTAAGCTTCTTTTTAATTGTCTTAATAATTTCTTCTTTAGGTGCATCCAGTTCTTTACAAACTGTATCACTTAATTCAATACAACCATCGTCTTTTTGATCCGCGACAATTTCTTTGCATTTTTCGGGAGAGGTTGATTCAACAACAACAAGTGCCTCTGCTTTCTCATGATCATCAAGTTTATCTTTATTAAATCCAAGGGCCTGTTCAATATTATCTTCAAGCTTAGTAGCCTCATTATAGAGATTGCCGATAAAGCTTTTAATTTTAGATGGTTCGTCTTTTGGCTCTCCAGGTGCGGCTTTTGGCTCTTCAGGTTCGGCTTTTGGCTCTTCAGGTTTCTTTACGTTTTTAACGACTGCATCAGCAATTTTTCTTTCAAATGCTTTATCTTTATTATCTATAATAATAGATTTGGCACTTTCGATGTCTGTATCACGGTTCAAATGGTCTGATAACCGAAAAAAAGTTAGTATAGTATAATGTGCAATCTTATTATAAATAAAGCTCGTAATTACCTTGGTATGGAGTATCAAGTCCGATAACCTCATCATCGATGTTATATCTTGTGATTACAAAATCTTTAGCAGATCCCAAAAGTTCACGTTCGATTTGAGGATTTTTAATTTGTAAACTTAACCATTTATGTAAATCATCGCACTCAGTGGACCAATGTTGACGATGATCTACACCCAACAAGCGGAAATACCATATCGCTACAGCAGTGGCCAAAATTTCACTAGGAAGTTTCGCCAAGTCATCAGAAATAAAGTGACTACGTAATGCTATTTCCAAGGATTCTTTATTAAGGAATCCAAGGTGTTGTGCAAGCTCATCAGTAATTTTAAAGCCACCATCCTTTGTACGATAAGTAATGAATTTTTTAACAAGCTCATCAGTAGTAGTTTTTCGAGTAACCTTAGTGCCTGATAAAGAGATCTGTCTGCGATTTTTGTTTGCTAAAATTTCGAAAAAAAAATTAAAAATAAGCGATGTTTAAAATACAAAAATAAATAGATTGATTTACAGAACTCGAAACTTGTTTAAATCATCAAACATACCTGTCAATCGTCTTTTTTCTGAGATCTTTTCTTGTTTAATTGCCTCATCTTTGGTTTTAACAGCTGCAATGAAACTATTATCAGCTGCAATAGCTTCTTTATCAACATCATATCTATCTACAACGAATTTTTTGGCACATTCCATTATTTCATTCTCGAGATTAGTATCTCCATTGCATTGTCTTGTTACCCAACTGGATGATTTCTCGTAATTAGTGATCCATTCAGGTCGATGATCAACAGCAACCAAACGTAGGTACCAAATTGTGCACGCAGTTACCCAAACGTTATGATGAAGTTTAGTGATACGCTCTGTTTTGAAGAACTTTCGCAGGTGTTGTAAAAATTCATCAACACTTTTGAAGCCATAGTACTCAGCAACCTTTTCATTTAGAACAACACAACCATCATCGTCTTGATGATTAGTAAGTGTACGAATATGACGGACAGTGACAACCTTTCGCGTAATGATGGTGTGTTTGACTAAAAAGACGTATACATTACATAAGTTATTTTAATTAAAAGACCAATATGATAAATATGATAAATAAAATACATAAATTCCCTACCAGGAGTTATAATTTCCATTTGTTCTTTTTCAAAATCTTTAACTTTAAAGCGTTCAATCATGAATGTTCTGCATAAATCATATAATCGATCCTCAATATTAATGTCGTTAATTTCTTTACTGACCCACACCTCACTGTTTGAGATAATTTGCTTCCATTCACTATAGTGTTTCCAACACAAAACTTTGAGGTACATAATCGTAAGAGCTGTAGATAATATAGACAAGTCACATTTTAAAAGTTCTTGGTCTGAAGATATGTGTTTGAGAAAATCTTCTTTCAATTCATCGACTGAGTTATAATTAAAGAAACGCGCTAATTTCTCAGTAAATTCAAAGGATCCATTCGCTTTGCGCCAGCTTATAAGCATATAGATATGATTAAGTTTAATGGATTCTCGGGTAAATTTAAAGTCCACACCCTCAGTAAAGGCGGTGGGGATAAATCGAACTTCCAAGTTTAATTGTCCTTTAGCTGGCTTATTGCCAATTTCAAGTGGGAACCACTCATTAATTGCTTTAGAATGGTCTTCATTTTTCATTAACGTATTGGTATCCAAGACATAAGTACCGAGAGGTCTGTCTGCTATAAAAAGATTTTCGTCAAAGATTTCAACCGAAATTTTTTCGCCCGAACCATGAACAGAAACAAAATGAATTTCATCCCATTTTGGATTAACAGTTCCATGGTTAACACGAGTACGAACTATTTCAGCTCCAGCAGCATTCATAATGCGGACGTACGGATCGGGATTAGAAAAGGTAAACCAAAAATCTGATTTTTTGAGATCTTTAGCACTTTTAACACAGATCCTTATTATTCCAACAACTTCATCACTAGGGATCATGAAATCATGCGGTTCTTCGTCTGCAACTCCTCGATCATGATATCTATCCTTAGCTTCAAGAGAATCCTTGAATGACTCGTCTTTCTCTATAGCATCCTTTTCAACTTCGAATCTTTTAACAACAAAGATTCTAGCAGCTTCAAGAAGTTCGTCTCGTACTTTCTTATCTTTCACTTGTTGACAAAGCCAATCAGATGCTTTTTGGTATCTGCCTGCCCACTCACTTCTGTAATCAACTAATACATATCGATTAAACCAAATCAAAATAGCAGTACTCCAAACATTAGGATCAAATTGAGTAGTTTTTGGTAAGTAGAAAGAACAATCTATTTAATTTTTTTGCGAAATAAATTATGAGCACAAAGAAAAGTATGAAATAGAGAAATTATTGTTAAAAACTCTAATTAATTACCAGAGTCTAAGATGGGTGCAGTGATCGATTTGGACCCTATTTGATCTATTTGATTGATAATTTGTTGCGAAATAAATCACGAAGCACAAAGAAGAGTATGAAATAGAAAAATTATTAAAAATTAAAATTTATTACCATGTACTGATACGAATAAGGTGTGTGATTTAGGACCTATTTAATTGATAATTTTTTGCGAAATAAATTAACATATTTTTGAACTTTTGACTATTTTTTAAACCATTTTGCAGCCAAATTTGCCTGCAAATTGTCATAAGTCATCTGTGATCGATCTATCAAACTATATTGCTGCATATTTCAAGTTTCACAATGATAATGGGACCGAAGCTGGAAACGGCTGAAGCTGGAAATTTTAAATACTTTAATATGAAATTTTCAAACTTTTTTGGGATGCATTTTTCTAGCTTTTTTTTTTTATAGTTAGCTTAGGATTTAGGGTTAATTTTGATAATAAAAATGTATAGGTGGATTTTGGTAGGTTTATATTTTCAAATCGAGATCCCTAATTTCCAGCTTCAGCAGCGACAATCATTAACATTTAAAACTTACCATTGCCAAAATCTGAATCTATTAAAAATTTTTTGCGAAATAAATTAATATATGTCTGAATTTTGACTAAGTAAACGACAAAATTATAGGCATCATTTTACCTTCTATAGGATTATTAACTTGTTCTGGTGCTCTAGGTCTCGAAGTAATAATACAAGGAAGCTTAATCATGTCATCTATCAATTCTATTAAATCCGACGAATCTGGCCTTTCTAATGGATCTGAATCCCAACATTTTTTCATTGTATTTTTATAAACTTCTGGAGTCCCCTCTACAACTTCTGGACGAAGATCCTTGCAAATGATCTCCAAAGCTAAAGATGTATCATAAGGTCGGTCCCAAAATGGCCTATGAGTAGATGTTAGATCCCACATAATTATGCCAAAACTATAAATGTCTGATTTTTTTGTATATTGTTTGCCACTTAAAATTTCTGGTGCAATATAAGGTAAAACACCAATAATGCTTCCATCAGACCCTATGAAGAGTAAATTTATTTAGTATGATAATAAAATTATGTAGTTTCAGTTTATAAATAACAGAATACTTGGTAGATCTGCGAAACTTGAAATCCCAAAGTCACTAATAAATACTTTAGCATCATCGTCAATGAGGATATTTCCACAATGAAAATCCCGATGAATTATATTTAATTCGTGAAGTCTATGTAAAGATTTTGCAATGCTAGAAAGAATCTCTATTTTATTTGGCCATGTGAGTTTATTTTTATTAATATACATCCTAAGATCACCGTGAATCGCGCGTTTCAATACCATCGCATACCCTTGCATATGCTCCGTTAAACCATAGAAAGGTATAGCACATTTTCCAAGACATTTATAATGTATATTGAACTATAATAAGCGATTTAAAAGGAATAATTAACTATTGGGTATTTGTAATCACAATATATAATCGAATTATTGATACTTATAATTACTTCGTTAAGAAATTCTGATTTAAAATTTTTAGATTCTTTCAAAACTTTAAGGACAATATTTATTGATTCCTCCCATTTACCAATAAATACTTTTGAATTATGCCCTTTTGCAATTGGATTCTTATCTATATTAATATTCGAATAAGGTATCCACTCAATGAAATCGTCGCAATGTTGTTTCCTAGACTTCGTCTCTTGAATAAACATGTCAATATCTTTGTTCCCACATAATAAAGGTTTTTTATAAGAGAGTGAATTAGATCTACATAATTTTTTTGGATAGCAGATCACCTTTTGACTACAATGATGACAGTCCATCTTTTATGAAGACTATCGTTCGTTACTGAGAAATTATAGCACCTGACACGCCTCTTACGTTGGTTAACTATTTACTTTCCTGAATTTTCCCGACTACACCAAGCTAATCAAATTGATATTGCTTGGTCTCAAATTATACTCCACGCTAGCAATTCTAGAAGAAATATATATTATTACGCAGAACTATCCTGTATTGATTATTGTAGAAACTATAATAAAATTTCGCGAGAAAAAATTTGTTAGTTACACAAAAATCAATTTCATCATTGAATTTTTGAGTATGAACGGTTTTTTGTTGGATTTTTATGTTACGCCTAAAGTATCTCGTACGGTGCAAAAAAATCCAAAAACCACGATCACTCCTTATAGAGACGAGTGGCATATCGATATTGAAATTAAATATTTCCTAAATATTCGATTTCACTGCCGATACGTACGCACGTACGACGTTTTCTGCCCGGTGCCTAATCAAGTAGCAAATATTTCTAAAATTATCAATTATCGACTTTACCATTATCGTTATCGTTATATGCACTCTTTATAATTTAGGAAATATTTGATTTCAACATGTCTCTTGTTTGTACTTTGTCTCTACGTATAATGGGTTATTGTGATTTTTAGATTTCTCAGGAACTCTAAAAGTTTCGGCATATTATTTTTATGGGAAGAGATTGAAAACTCCAAACCCTTACTTTATTAAGATTGATAATCTATTGTCGATCATTTCCGGTCTGGCTCCGAGCTCCGATTTTCATAATTCCTGGAACTGTTACAAATTGTTAGCTAAACAACTAACTAGGATTAAAAAAATTTTAAACAATTAATCAATTAATAATTTAATTAGTATAATTCTATAATATTTTTTTAGTCAAGCTAAT